GAATCAAAGATGCCATGTATCTAAACAAGATGTCCAGGACCTCCAGCAGAAATATAGGCCCACAACATTAAAAATACAGCAGTATATTTCATTGTACACATGGGGTACTTTTTATCCCTGTGTGCACCAAACCCATCTTTGAGTGTTTGTTGCTAAAAAGCTAATTTTTTAGTTACATCTGATCATAGAAGCCAGTCCCATTTGAAGTTCCAGTCGTGTCTGACAACAGAATATGCTGGGGATTGTTTATGGATGAGAGCATTTTCTTTTCTTGAAACCCTCCCAAACAACATGTGGTGTAGGTGCTGTTTGATTTTATTTCTTTTTTAAGGTTTTCTGACCCTGAGACTTTAGCCACTCAAACTCTCCTGCTCACCGTGCATTAGGACGATATAGATACACGTCCTCTTCCAGGCAGATTTGTAACCTTTTCTGTTGATTGGAAATTCTTAATTATTGCCCTGATGGTGGAAATGGGAATTTTCACTGCTCTAGCTCTTTTCTTAAAGTCACTTTCTAATTCGTGAAGCTCAATTATCTTTTGCTGCACATCAGAAATATATTCTTTGGTTTTGAGATTTTCCCCCATTTTCAACTGTTTTAGTTCAATGAAAGGTTAGATATTTGTGAATTTTTAAAAATAAAAGATCAAAATGATTAACAATGCAGATTTATTTTCACAGCCTTCTTTGATCATATTTACCAAGGGTGCCAATAATTCTGACCACGACTGTATTTCTTTGACCTGAAATGTAATGTACCTCTGAGAAAAAAAGAAAACAAAAAAAGAAGTAAACTATTATACATAATGTGAAGTGTTGATGCCAGAAATATTTATTTGTCCTGAATAATCTTTTATTGTTTTGCATCCATCAATTTAAAAAAGAGATTAGATATCTTATGTATTTACGTCACCAGACATTACTATACAGTTATGTAACTAAGCATGTTGGCTTAAATTTCCACAAAAAACAAACAAACAAAAAATATATATATATTGTTGATTTAATGGTTATTTTCACTACTATCAATATGATCTGATTATTGCTAAAGAAAACCTCCTGAATTCTAGATGCACATGATGCAGTGATACGGTTCAATGCTGCACCAACAACAGGCTTTGAGAAAGATGTGGGCTCTAAAACAACAGTGCGTCTGATCAATTCCCAGGTAGTTTCTTTGATAACTGGTGAAAAGTTAAAATAACATGCAGTAATAAGCTCCTAAAAAACATAATGTCTGTTTATTGCATAGGTAATGGCATCTGAAGACCATCATTTCCTCTCCAGTTCTTTGTACAGTGCTGGGATTTTAGTGAGCTGGGATCCAGGCCCTTATTCCTCTGATCTACAGGAGGTAAGAACTCACTTTTCCACTTTCTAGCATTTGGCACGTTCACAAACTTCCAAAATTTCATGCTTAATTAGCAAGTTTCAACACAAAGGCTTAGTCGTAGCTTTAGTATGTAGGGCTGAACGATTAATTGCATTTGCGATAATATCGCGATATGAAAAAACGTGATTTTTCAATCGCAGAGGCTGCAATTACACTCAGAGAGTAAAGAGGTGTGTTCGACTTGAAGATCGATCAGTGTATGACATCAAAGTACGGCGAGAGAAAGCATAAGGAGACGTTTATGTTTAATCTATCTAATAGTGCGTTGGTCATACTATACAATGATTTATAGCTTGTCTTTGTTGAATAATACAGAACATAAAGAGCTTAAAAAAATAATTGCATATTAAATTGCAATCGCAATATTGATTAAAAAAATCGCAATTGGATTATTTTTCAAAATCGTTCAGCCCTAATAGTATGGTTCTTGTAGGGCCTGGACCATATGACCACTAAGCCACTCCTCGTTAGTATAGTGGTAAGTATCCCCGCCTGTCACAGCCAATCAGATTGCAGCATTTTAGCAGTTTGCCAAAGAGCGAAAATTATGTCACAGCCAATCAGATTTTTTCATGCATTTTTTGCTTTTTGACCTGGGTTTCAAAGAGCTTTGTGCTGTTTATAAAACAAAATAAAAAAATTTAACAATACATTACAGCTGCAAAGTATTTTAAATGTGTGTCTTGTATTCTTGGATTACAAGACAAAGTATTATGAATAAATTATTAATATTAAAATAAATACAGTAAAAACATTACATGGTTATATTAAAAACATGAATGGTTATATTAAATGGCTTTTGAAATGTAAATAAGAGGCATTTAAATTGAACTCAAACGTAGTAATATTCAAGTATTGAATGAAAATTGATTGAGTGATGGAATAATTTAATAATAAATTAAGTGTTTCCAAAACCATAGAAACGGTAAAACATTAGTCCTATGAAGTGGAACACAGCACTCATGAAGCAATTTGTAATTTTCAGTTGTATTTTTATTAAATGCTTTAAGCACTTTTTAAAGATTAGTAAATATTGATCCAAAATAATTAAGTAGAAAGAAAAATAGAATTCTGACAATATATAGACATTACAATCTCACAATGAAAAATAAACAAATCAAAATATACAGTATATACATGAGTTAAATCTGGGCAAGTTAACATGTTATTATCGCGTAAACCCCCAACTAGGGATGTCAACGATTAATCGATGATCGATTAATTGTCGATAAGAGATGCAATCGATTAAAGCTATCATGGTCGGGGATAATTTTATTTTAAATGCCATAATGTCAGTTGAAAACATTGCAATTGTGTTTTAAAATACAACAACGAGCACCACGAAACCATTTAAAGAGGCGCGTTCAGTGGTCTCCGTGACGGGATAGGAAACAGTCAACAAAGTAAAATTATCTCAAACGAGCTCTCTTCATTTGATCAAATGATCATAATCACATCTATTCATTTTACAATCCTGCTACTAGCATTTTATTCAGACTAAATCCCCTTTAAATCGGGTGAGAAAGCGGGGTTTTTTTTTTGAGTAACTTTTGCACATCCTGTCATGCCGGGCTGCATAGACGCATTTTGCAGCATTAAGGTTAATTAATCGATTAATTGATCGTTAATTTAAACGACGATCGATCATGGAAATGATCGAAAATTGACATCCCTACCCCCAACCATTGATTAATGCCAACAATTATTTTATCGCACATTAACGCAGTTTTTTATTATTATGAAAGTCGGTTGCTCGCTGGCTCTGAATACACACAGACAAACCATGGGTCACAGGAGAGGTGGGATGTTGGTCCGTGTACGTTTTGATAGTTTGTTTTTCAATTTGAAATGAAATAACCAGAAACGAGAAAACGGTGGTTTTTTTCATTTGTTAAAAAATCCCGAAAAAATTTGATTTTGGCTTGATTTTCTTTTTTTTTGGTTCACGGGTAGAAAACAGATAAACAACTTCAAAATTAGTTTTCCCTTGTGGGCAGTCATAACACGCCCCTTTCTGCCGATTGGTCAACCAAATCTGAGCCCGTGACGTCATCCTCAGTTCATTCAGCAAAATAATAGTCCTCTGCTGCTGTACGGGGCAGGTCCCAGATCGGGCTTTCTTCTGTGCAACCTAACGCGTTTCACAGAAATATGTAGGCCTATTTCAGAAATTTTAATCTGCACCCAGCCTGTTTTATTTAGCTGTGCTCGTAGATGAATCTGTATGTTGAAGCTGCACTACCCATAGACAGCGCAGAACGGTTGAGAAGCACAGATTAAAAAAAATTAAAAATAATAATAGACTAGGGGGGTCCCCCAGATATATTTTTTAGGAAAAATAATGACAAATCTGATTAAGCTCACGCAGTTAGGATAGGGTACATTTCATTAATTAATTATTTACAGTCATTCATGTGACTGAAGTCTGTTTTTAGGCAGTCAAAATGTAAATGCCTCTATCAGGGTCGTGCACAAAGTGCAGAAAATGTCTGAGAGCACAAAAAACAGAGAAATATAACCAAGGAAAACGTCTCAGGTTACTTATGTAACCATGGTTCCCTGAGTAGGGAACGAGACACTTCGTCCTCTAGGGGTCGCTATGGGGAACGCCTCGTCGTGACCCGTGTCTGAAGCATACATTGAAAAAACACCAACAACATGTTGGCCGGCGACAGCCATGACGTCACTACCGGTGCGACTATAGTATAAATAAGCGCCGGGAGCACACATCATTCACTTCTTCATCTGAAGCTTGCGTCCGCAGAGGTTAATAACGCATAACCCTTACCATACAGGATTTCAGAAAAGTGGGCAAAGCATAACGTGCACACTTACCACTTATGTGGATTTTAGAAAGTGGGCAAAGCATAACGTGCACACTTACCAACTATGTGGATTTTTAGAAAGTGCGCAAAGCTTAACGTGTACACTTACCTTAGTATGGATTTAGAGTTTTCCAAGCATCTGTTCACAGATACCCGGAAGTACTGGGCCAAACGGGAGAGGCAAGCTCAAATACAACCCTCTAAGGTGAGGGGAGCACTGCCTGAGACAGCATTACACAAGAAGGTTCTTGCAAATATTCTTCCTACCCCTACCCGCGGGCGGGGGAGGAGCGCGAGCCGCGACACTAGCCTTCTGTGCCCGTCTCTGATCCTCAAACCGAGACGGGCCAGGACCCCTGGGTTGTTCGGGCTCAGACCTGGACCTCCTTTATCCAGGTCTTTCAGCAGGTCAGCCTGATATGCTTGGAGCATCACCATCGCGTGCAATGAAGCGACAGCCCAACCTGCTGCTGCTGCTGAGTATGCCCTGGCATTCGAGCGAGATGTCAAGGAGGGAGTCTTAAAAGAGGACGTCTCACCCATAGAGAGATAGCTGGCCAGCGTCTCTCTATAGGGGCATCTTCTCATAACCGCTTTTGCGCATCGCCTCGATGTTGGCATAACTTGTATGCTGGAATCGATGGATACGTGAGGGAAAAACGGCCTCTTCCATTCCTTCTCAATCTTTATATGAAAAACAGGAAGAAAGGAAGGTTCACCTGAGCTGGAGGGTTATGGCCAGAAAAATAATGTTCATCGAGATGACCTCGCGACGTCACTTTCTTCGCCCGCTTCATGGCAAGTAAAGCCACGCTGTGGCGCGATCCATAACTTACAAAAGCTCATCATACGCAGGGCAGGAGGATTGGGAAGGCTCAGCCTCAGCTTCTTTGCCCTCCTCAGACATTTCCTGCTTTTGCTGGGCTGATCCCAGCAGAGCACTGGCCCCTGAATCAGACAAGGTTAATGAAATAACATCATCCTCCAGCGGCTCACTCTCGTCCACAGCCGACGATCGCAAAAGGGAAACCCCCCTTCAAACTCATCGGCCAGATCCACCTGCGATCCCCACGAGCTCATTCCCTTCCATTCTGAAAACTTTGCTTTCGTTTTTTTAAATTTTGTGCAATATAATTTTACTTATAATTAAATTTTGGTTTCACGCTTGTTATTTTTTTTATCCGTGACTGTAATACATTTGGCGGGAATATGATCCCATAGATGGCCACATCATAAACCGTTTTAAAAAGCTTCGATTAATGAACCTTTTTCTGATACAATTGTGTTGAAAGCTTCGCTGGTTCAGAACGCTTCACTTTGCCATCACTAAGTGCTTTTGCTTTCGCACAGAAACACACAGCGTCTCCCTGGCATGACTGCATCAACACTACTGCTGTTCCTGAAACCACGCCTTATTTCTTTGCGTGCACATTTGGGCGTTATTATGCAAATATTTCCACATCGTGATGTAGATATGTGGGGGCGTGTTAGAATGAGCCGTTTTAGGTAGGAGTGGTTGACTCTTAACTTTTATAAAGAAAATCTCTTTGGATTTGAGACTTTAGTCTTTGCAACTTTACAGATCTTCTTTATGCACCAAGAGCTTGTAACACTCCAAAGAGAAAGGAAAAATTGAAATCGCATCACATGACCCCTTTAAAGTTTTATTAAAATCTGTGTTTTTTTTTTGTAACGAAATTTTTTTTTAATAAAAATAAGGCTTTTATGAAAACACTGAAAAAATTGCTTACCAACACACAAACCATTCACAACTGCTAAATTGGGCTAAAATAGAAGGCTCAGAGTGACAATAAATAAAGAGCCATTTAGGAGCCGTAAGAGCCGGCTCTTCTAAGGGAGCCGAGCCAAAAGAGCCGAACTTCCCATCACTACTAAACATTCCGGGCCGGAGAACGCTTACGTCATGTATGAGATAACGGAGAAAACCACTTTCGCTAATATTCTGCCGAATAATTAATAATAATTAATTTATAATTTATGCCGTGCATTGATTTTCACTTGTATGTATCAGAAAATTATTACGGAGGCAGCTGACGTTAATGAAATAATTTGCAGCTTTAATCGCAAACTACATTTCCTGTTCATCAATAAGGTAAGAACCAGACCCATTATAAACCTAAATATACTTGATTAAATTAATTGAAAAGTGTAGTGTAGTAGTAGTAATAGAATGTTTGTGGTCGTAATGATGATATAGCGCACACAAAATAGTATCTGTTCCATGCTCCGGCGCGGTTAGCGCTCACACGGCATGCGTACCGCGCCCAAGCCCAACCGAACCGTGCCCTGGCCCACCTCTTCCAACCGGGCCACGGCTGGCTAAACGAACCGCGCCCGAACGCGGCACTGAGTGCTCACACTAGTCAAACGAACCGGGCTTTGGGGGTCAAACGCGCTCGGGCACGGTTCTAAACGCCTAGTGTGATACACCCTTATTCTCCCGCATCCCGCACACACGAGTCTCTACCCGCCCGCACCCGCCCATCAAGTGTTGTCCCACGCCGCACTCTGTTGCGTTGGGTCCCGCGATCGTGCAGGTCTCGACTCGGAAAGTGCCTGTTAAATGTTATGATCGAGGCTCTGGACTCTGAGCATAACTTGTTTTTCTATAATAAACTATAAAATATTTTCTATAAAAACGTTAATGCCCTGGCAGTGGCAAATAGCTTTGGTTTTATATTTAATAAGATTACATTAATGTTATAAATTGAGATTACAAGAAATATTTTAACTGCTACTAATGGAATACTGCTGTAAAAAAATCACCTTATTTGTTTAAAGTGTTTGCAAACCAAATGTTATTGAACTTTTGTTCATATAGCAGAATAGTGCACAATACACTACTTTTGAATTCATTATTGAATTTTGTGCATAATGCGTTTAATCTCAGAAAATCATGCGATTAATCGCAATTAAAAATTTTAATAGTTGCCCAGCATATATATATATATTTATAGATTTGGTTTAAATTTTATTTTTGTATTTTCTGCTTTTTAAGTCAATTTTAATTAAAGTTTTTGTAATTTTTATTACTTTTTGTTGTTTTTAAATATAATTTTTATTAATTTTTACTAAAGTTTGTTATTTTACTACATCAGGGTAAACTAAATTAAAATTAAATGTTGCCTTGTTAAGTAGCTGAAATAAAATAAGTTTTATATTTTATTTACTTCAAGTAATGAAAATGTTTTCAATGGTTTTAGTTGAACATGATAACCCTGATTGTAATATACAATAACTATAATTTAATTTTTTTAACTTTATTCAAAACTGTTTCATGTTGACCCTAAAATAATGATTGAAAGAATGAAAAAATAATTATGAAATGTGAAACAATAAAATATATATATAAAAAATAATTATATTATACACAATAACTGAGGTTTTGTAAACATTCCAGATTTGATCAATTTGATTTGTTATTTCTCTTTTTATTTTTCCTTTCAGTGGTTCAACAAGACAGATTACCCTATATTTAAGCAGTATCAGCGATATCGACGCTTACACCCTCAACAGCCATTTTATATTCTGCACCCACGAATGGAATGGCAGCTGTGGCAGCGAATACAAGACAATATGGTGGAGACGATACAAAAAAACCCACCCTCATCAGGCTTGTTGGGTAAGTTATACTGAGTTAGAAAAAACAAACCAGGTAAAATTTAACCACAAATGGTAAAAAAAAAATATATATATATATATATATATATATTTCATTCTTCTATCTTTGTAGGCACAGTTTTAATGATGTCCCTGTGTGAAGTGGTACATGTGTACGAGTTCCTGCCTTCGCGACGGAAAACCGAGCTGTGCCACTACTACCAGCGTTTCAGTGATGCAGCTTGCACCCTAGGTGCCTACCACCCTTTACTCTACGAGAAGAACCTGGTAAAGAGGATGAACAAGGGGTCTGACCATGACATTTACACTCATGGCAAGGTCACTCTCCCTGGGTTCATGACCTTTGACTGCACCAACAGTTCCACTTCCAGCACTCTGTCAAAGACATAATCTGAGGGTAAACTGATTTTTTTGGTACACTTTCAGAATGTAACAGTAAAGCGCATTATTTAGTCTACAACTGTAACAAGTATAGTCTGGTCTTTGAGTGAGATCAAGAGTTGGATCACTGGTGGAAAATAAAAACCTAACACACTAACGATTGCTTCCTGAAGGGAACTAAATTCACACAGACACAAAATGCTGAATACAGTGGCAAGTTCTGTATATGTGTAAACTACTGTCTATCATTCCTTAACTTAGTGGTAAATTCACACTGTTTGCTGTTAAATAACAGGAAAAAGATCTCAATACCACTTATCTGCCTCTCATGTGAGATGCAACCACTGAAAATGACTTTCAAGCACTGCCTGACACATTACAGCACTGATGTCAAAAGAACTGGAATTTACAATCTAACAACAAACATACAGATTATTAGACAAGAAAATAGCCAAAATTCTGTCCATAAACGTGTAGCATGCAAAACTCTTATGTCCAAAGCCGGCCTGCTGCTTCCATAATGTGCAGGTTTTCAATTTATGCAACACAATCCTAACACATCATTCATGCAATATTGGTAATGATTTGCCAGCAGACACATGTCATTAGCAAAATAATGCTTTAAATGTATGTATTTTATGAAAGCTGTATTTCAAGGCCTGGAGATCTGTATGCATTCAGTGTTTACACTGTGACGTCTTTCCTCTCATAGCACTCTGTAACCAGTTGTAGGGCCGTGGAGAATGTCCTTGCATGCTTTACTGAAATTGCACTATATCATACCTTTGGTAAACCTGTATTTAGTTGTATTTATGAACTTGGTGAGAAGGAAACTACAGAATGTGCATGTTTGTCCTGTTTTATACAGATTCAAATTCAGTTTAGGCTCTTAAAACATGAAAGCTGATACCCTTATGCATTTGGAAGAGAAAAGGGTGTTTACTTTTCATAGTAGTATTATTTTTTTCAGTGTGTTGATCCAGGGTGTGTCATTGTATCCCACATCCATTATATTTACTCAAACACACAGATTGCAGTATGTAAATACCAAAACACAATTACTAATACTGACTGCGCCTAGTGATTGTTCATATGAATCCTGAATGATGCGAGACAGGGTCTTAATATTCATATATTAATTAGTCTAAAAGTTAACATGAAATCGCAAATGACCTCACTTGCTTTTAAAATCATACCTTTGTACACTTCTGAAACAACTTTTTGGTCAACACAAATGGTTTTATGTTGGCTTTACAGTAGAATTGTGAAGCTTAAATGTGAATTGAATTGAGTAAAACGCTTTATGAGTAATTTGTAGCATACAGCAGATTAATATTATGAATATATTTAAAAAAATAAACAAAAGAGTTAGCATAGAATGTGTTTTTGCTCTGACTGCAAATAACTGTTTTTAATTGATAAAATTATGCTTTTGTCTGCAAACTGTATACCTGTAACCTGACTACTTCAAGTATAATTCAGATGCGTCTCACGTAAATGAACTTTTGTCATGTCTTACATGGGTAAACCAATTCAGATTGATCAAAATAATCTGGGCTATGCACATGTGAACAACTGTCAAATGTATAGATGTTTCAAATGTTTCTCTAATGCAATGACAGTTTTTTATTTTTCAAGAATCTTCCCTTTAAGCATTCTGATTTACTTTTACTCTGTTGAAATTTAAATGCCAAAGTTGTTGTGTATACATACAAATTATTCAAATGAACTGTTGGACTCGATGGACTGTGATAAGATTGTAAAATGAAGCATAACTGAACAGAACCTTTGTGCTTTTTGGATAATATGTTACTTGGATGACATCTAATGTCCTTCACTTACAGCAGGAAGGGAACAACTACTTCTCTATTATACGTTACTGGAACACATACAAAATTATCTTAATCCGGCTTAATGCATGGTTCACAAGTTTAGGCTATTACTAGCTGAACAAGTGGGACATTGTTTGCTCTATAAAGGTGAGCATGAATATCTAGCTCTGTTAACTTGCTGGTGAGGACACTGTAACCTGAGACCTGGCTAACAAATCTCAGCACGAATGGCAACGATATATTTAGTAACATTGCAGCTGAAATGCTCTCAACATGGCAACCTTTCCGTTTGACTGGTTCACAATTACAAGTGTTCTTCCTGTGTACAAATACCTGTGTGCCACCACACCACTAACTTTGTCAGTGTTATTGTTTCGATTTGTATGCTCTATGCAGTTCTGTACAGTAACGTCTTCAAAGTGTACTGTGATAAATTCTATAAGCTGGCAAAGACAAACTTGTTTCACAAAACAAGAAAGTAATTTATCAAATTGGCACTTCTGCAATTGGCATCAAGAACATACAATGTCAATTATTGTACTGCTTTAACCTTAATTATATTAAATTTGTAAATTAATTTAAAGTATTATTACAATTAAACATGTACATATTCTTAAACAACATTATATGGCTCTTGGCAAACTTACTGTAATAACCCTGCTTGTCATATTGGCACTTCAGTGCAACAATTAGAAGACTAATAAAATAACTACTGCTTACATTGTAGATTTGTCTCTTTCTTCCAAGGGTTTCAATATGGTGTAATTAGACTTGTGCCGGTATTCGGTAATGCGATATATCACGGTAATGAATATGCACGATATTGTTATCATGGGCACTTCTAAATACCGTGAATAATTATATATTACAAATTATTCAGAATTTTGAATGCATTTTAAGAATACTTTTCCCATCAACTGGTCAAAATGCACAACACCGCCGTATGCTGCATGAAAGATGCGTGCGCACTCTGTATTATGACAGCACTTTTTTAAACTAAATTTCAATATCGTGATAATACCGCATACCGTGATAAAAGCATTAGCAATTAATCGCAACATGAAAATTTTATACCGGCATATCCCTAGGTGTAATATGACAAAAACTAATAAGTCCACTCAAAATTGGCTACTTTATAGATAGAAAATAAAAAACATTTTTGTCTCCCCGTCGGGGAATCGAACCCCGCTCTCCAGCGGGGCGGCCGGGGGATTCTTTAGCTAAACGGCCCTAAACTGTTTCCCATTCATTCTCAATGGTAATGCTAAACCAGGGCTGTCCAAACTCGGTCCTGGAGGGCCGGTGTCCTGCAGAGTTTAGCTCCAACTTGCCTCAACACACCTGACTGGAAGTTTCTATGCCTAATAAGAGCTTGATTAGCTGGTTCAGGTGTGTTTAATTAGGGTTGGAGCTAAACTCTGCAGGACACCGGCCCTTCAGGACCGAGTTTGGACAGCCCTGGGCTAAACCACTACGGATGCAATATACCTTCGGCCGCTAGTGCTCTTGTGGCGCTCTTCCGTGTTTTGGCACCCCGGGAAATTTGAATTCGTAGAAGAAGAAGAAGAAAACAGCGGCGATCGCTTCGGTTGTTTAATTCAACGCATTCTCAAGCGTCTATCAAAGGTGAGTGAGTGAGTGACGTGAAATGTGAGTGACGACATGTGGCCAAGTATGGTGACCCATACTTGGAATTAGTGCTCTGCATTTAACCCATCGGTAAGATACTTTATGCGAGATCAGTTTACGTTTTGTTACCGGTAATGCTGAAATCACATTAGTAAACTTTGTTCGTTTCCAAACGTTACCTGTCGGGTTTTATTTACTATAGTTCAACGGAGGTTGATTTGTTTGCACGCAAAATTATGAATGAACATCGCTGTAATTTACGTTTCTGTGTATTGTTTGTCATCATTTACACGTCATCTGTTGATTACAAGCTAAATTATGAATGGATAACCATTAATTTCATTTTTGTAATGAGATTACATGTATTCCACAGTTCAAAAAAATTTATTTGTAATGATCTCTGAAATGTAAATTGTAAGTGGGCTATAACAAACCCATGTTTATCTTTATAAACGTGATTAATTGTACTTGTGATGTTTTCATGGGATGATTAGCCTAATCCTCATGAACACGTGACGCTGGCGTGGTATCAGACATGAACTATACAGAATGCGAACAAGATTAACTTTAATACAAGAAGATTATGGCGCAAAAGCGAATTTCAGATTTTTTTTAAATGCCCATCCCAGCAAAAACTTTCCAAAATAGGCATCCAACACCAGCCCCAGCACGAGCACCGATGTAAGTGAACCAGCTCCAGCATGAGCACGGAGAAAAGTAAGCCTAGCGGACCCAGCCCAACCCCCGAGATTGATCAGCTACTATCGATAATTTCAAAAATGTGATATGCAGTCAAATTTCCCAGTGTGTATGCCACTTAAACGAGTGTTCATATCGACGCACTTGTAGTGCTTTGTGGAGTTGTCAAATATACAGCTTTCAAAGTATACTCAACCGCGGAAAAAAACATGTTTACAGCCTGGTTCAAAAAATTATTTTGGTCTATATAACTAATTTTGCCCTTCATGACAACTGTGAGGGGGGTGATTTTTTTTATAACTCATCCGTTTAAATTATATTAAGCCTTATAATAAAAATACAACTGGAAAATTACAAATTGCTTCATGAGTGCTGTGTTCTACTTCATAGGAGTAATATTTTACAGTTTCTATGGTTCTGGAAACACTTAATTGGTCATTTAACTTATTAAGTGTTGACTTCAATTATTCCATCACTTAAATTAATTTTCATTGAATTTCATTGAATATTACTCCGTTTGAGTTAAATTTAAATGCCTCTTATTTACATTACAAAAGCCATTTAATATAACTATTCATGTTTTCATATAACCATGTCATTTTATACTACTCTTATTTTACTGTATTTATTTTAATACTAATCATTTATTCATAATACTTTGGTTTGTAATCCAAAAAGGCATGACATTAATTTAAAATACTTTGCAGCTGTAATGTATTGTTACATTTTAGAATTTTGTTTTATAAAAAGCATAAAGCTGTGTGAAATAATGGTTTAGACCTGCGTGTGTGGGATTCGAGCCCTGGTCCAAATAAATGCATGAAAAAAATCTGATTGGCTGTGACATAATTTCCGCCCTTTGGCCAGCTGTTGAAATGCTTCAATTTCATTGGCTGTCAGTGAGTTACAACTATTCGCGGCTGGCCCATTGCTGACAGGCGGGGATACTTACCACTATACTAACGAGGAGTTCCATAACACATCTCAGCTGATTAAGTCTGAAATACATAGTAATAACATAGTAATAAGCATTGTAACTTTTTGTTTATGAAATACAATACATGGATTGATTCTAACTTAAGTTGTTATAGTTTAATATTTTATCTATGTTATTTTACTTAATCTTACCGACCTGGAACTCTCAAAAGATCAAGAAAGACTTGTCCATCTGGCATTGTTCGGGAGTTCACTGTGTAACAAAAACAAAAACAGCTAAATAATTTTTCTAACAGCCAGTAGGTTTATAAAACCAACACAACACACACACACACACAGACACAAACACATGTACACACGCAGAACCCCTCCCCCACACACATTGTTTGTCTTTCCTTAAAGAGGAAAAAAATTAAAGATGAATGGGAATATAATAATACTTGATTCCTTTTTTTTCTACTGTTCGATAGATTTAACAAAGCATATAGAAATTTGTATAGAAACATTACAAACAAGAACTTGTTATATCATTGTGCCATGTATTATCTACTGCTGTATAATGACTTTTTGATTTTTTTTCTGTATGCGTTAACATATACATTTTTGTGTTGTGTTTCAATGTCCACTTAATATTGTATATTTTATGCATACATGTTTAAGTAGATCTCTGAGGCAATTCATGAAGTCAATTTTCTTGTAAATGCATGTGTATTTGCCAATATTATTTGGATGATAATTAAAAAAGAAGAAAAAAATAAGTGTATTGAAAGTCTATGCTGTAATAATATTATTACAGTGTTATTACTTGTTAATAACACAATATTAACAACGACAAACTGGCAAAAGCTTTGCATCTCCCCGTCGGGGAATCAAACCCCGGTCTCGCGGCGCGGCGGCCGGGGATTCTTTAGCTAAACGGCCCTAAACC